TATATATTATTAAGTGTTTCTGTAAAGTCTTTTTATAGAAGACACAAAATCCCAATATAATAAATAAGAGTTATGAATCTGACTACTTAAAAATTAATAATTTGTTTGGAAAAATTATCATAAACAGACTCAAAAAATAAATGACGTCAGGGACTGGCGGAGAGAGAACAGGGAGCTACTGCTTAAGGGGTACTGAGTTTCTGTTTGCTGTGATGAAAACCTTTCGGAAACTGATAGTGGTAATGGTTGCACAACTTAGTGAATATAATTAATGTCACTCTATTGTATACCTAAAAATAATCAAAATGGCAATTGTTTGTTGGATGTTGTATATGTTTTACCACAGTAAATCTTTTTTAAATGAAAAAAAAAAAAGCTTATATTCTATTCTATTAAAGAAAAAAAGGATATATTTGTATATGCAAAAAAGAAAGTGTGGAAGAATTTACACCAATCTGTCAAAACGAGTCACCTGATTTTTTGGAAGGGACTTTCAATTTTTACTCTGACTACTTCTGTATTGTTTGATTTTTTATTTAAAAAAAAAAAAAAAGGCATGTATTGATTTAGGATCAAAAAGTAGAGGAAAAAATTTGTCTCATTATTATGCAGCAATGAGTTGACCCACAAAAAAAAAATGACATAGAACACTATTTCTTGTGTATAAGAATAAAACCCCATGTTATTACCTTGATTTCTCATTGGAATAGTTAGCAGAACAAGGTATGGCAATAGCTGAGTTTGGAGGCATAAAGATGGTAAGCAGAAGTCAGAAAAAAGTGCTTTTGCTGCCAGGCAGTTCTCTCGATACTGTACAGGGAAAAAAAATTAAAAATGGAAGATGAAAGAAAAGTAAAACTAAAACTATGGTTGTTTTCCTAGACAAAGTTTATTATACTACAAAGTGTATGGTTCTCCCTGATCCTCATTTCTAAATATCATTCGCACTAAAAAGAATTACAAACATATTTATAAGTACAAATATATTACAAATGCACTTTTAAGAGTTTATCTAACCAGGCCTTTATATCTGTTCTAGCATTATCTAATAACATATTTTACCTACACATCTATCTCACATTTGACATAACAGGAGTAAGAATTTTTTTAAAAAGAGACTTTATGCATAAGAACAACTTAAAAATCAAAGGAATTCTCTTTATGAACATACAGACATCACAAAGTATGTGAGGATGTTTCTCAATGAAATAAATTCTTTTAAAAAGGCTCTACTAAAATTATTTTACAAAGGCTCCACCTAGTACTCTAATTGCAAGTTATGTAACTTACTAAAGTCGAGTGTGGCTTATATTGAGTTTAGCCTTAAACACATTTTCCTAAATCCTCTGAAATATTCATTCTTACTTGTTAAATATCTTCTTCAGTTAACACAAAGTACAGTATTAGGCTGATGGGAAGAGAAGCACAATCCCTGCCTTTAAGGAGATTACAGTCTGCAGCTGGGTACCTACAACCCACATCTCAAAGAGCAGATGCTACTTGGCCCCAGCTGATTGCTGCTGTGTAGAAATATGGGCTCAGCATTGCCTCACTTTCCATTTGTTTTCAGGAGATTCCAGAAATTAAGAAGCCAGAAATTCACAACTGAATTTTAATTATTCTACTAAATTTAAAGATTGGCAATTAATTAAAAAAAAATCTGTTGCCTGTGTTATACTCAACTTGTGGGCCACCAGTTTTGGTCTCTTGGATAATCCAATCTTCTACATTTATAGCTGAGAAAACTAAGAGCCCATTAGGTGAAATAACTTTTCTAGATGGTTAGAGGAAGAGCCAGGATAGTAAATTAAAACCAAACAATAATTCTATCTATAACGCTGATTTCAATACAAGCCAATTAATAAATGAGTATGTGCTTTCAAATCTGAGTAGGTTTTTCTCTTCCCCTTAATTTGACTGAGATCGCCCCTTTATGTTTTATGATAATCCTAAGAAAACTGTGGGTCTTAGGAACTATCTCTTACTAGGAATGAAACATCACTTTTCCTTTTTTTTTCTTTTTACCTTTTTATTTATTAGAAACCACTGAGGTTTGTGCAAGGGTCGAAAACTTGATCCTCCTCCTTGGCAGTGAGCAAATCCTCGGGCTTTGTTGGAATGTATCACGCCTCTCGTAGATATAGATGTGCTATACTCCCTGAGTAAAGAGTGTGTCTAACAAATGAGACAAGATGTGAAATAAAAAAATAAGAAAAATTTATAAAATAGTACTATGGGTACTACTGATACCAAAAAGACTCACCATATTTAGTTACTATTTGTTCACGTTCTTCAACATCAACACAGCTCAAAAATTAATACTGTTACAAAAATTTTAAAACAATAAAGCAAATTTAACTGAGGCATACCAACCAAATGCAATGGGTGCACCCTTACTGGATCTTGGAAGGGGGCAGGGGAAACAACTTTAAAATACATTTTTGAGGCAACAGGGGAAATCTGAATAGGGACAGTATATTATTGAATTAATGCTACTTTTTCTTAGGTATTATAATGCTATTATGGTTGTAAAAGAACAATGTCCTTATGTATGCTTAAATATTAAATGTCATGATGTTTGCAATTATTTTCCAATGGTTCAGCCAAAAGAAAGTGTGTAAATACATAAAGAGAGATTAAGCAAATGTGACAAAATGTGAAAAACTCATGAACAAAAGTTAAGGGTATACAGGTAATCACTGTACTATTCTTTCAGCTTTTTTGTAGGTTAGAAATGTTCAAGAAAAGAAAATAGTATTTAAAAAAGTATAAAAAATAAGCAAATGCAACTGCTGAATACATGAAAGTTTAAATAGAACACAGAAACTATATCATGAAACTTTTTTTTGTTAAACCTTTCCTAACTTTAGTTATTAATGCTATCTCAATACTTATAACAGAAAAACACTAACATTAAAACGATGCTGTCCAGTAGAACTTTCTGTGATGATGGAAATGTTCTGTATCTAGGCTGTTCGATACAGTAGCTACTAGTCACATGTGGCTACAGAGTACTGGAAATGTGGCTAGTGTGTCTGAGGAAGAGAATTTTAAATTTCAATTAATTTAAATTTATATACCCCATGTGGCTAGTGTCTACTGTACTGCGTAGGGCAGTGTCAAAATGTTAAAGAAAAATACAAATTCTATACAGAATAATTTCAACTATGTAAAAAAAAAAAAAAAAAAGATTAGCAGGAAGTACACCAAAACGCAGTTCTTTCCCATCTACTTTTCCAAGGTTGTCAAGTTTTCTGTAAGAATATATTAACTTAATAATAAAAAAAAACTTAAAAAAAAATTAATGCTATATTATCACTTATGAATTAATTTTATCATAGTTATTAAGAGTTACATAAAATACTGTCAAATAATTGGGGATAAAAAGTAAAGTTTCTTTTCTCAAATCTGAGGAAATACTCATAAACAAAAACATTTAACTGAAATGGTCTTACATTCCAGTCGCCACTGAGGATATCTGCAAAACTCAGAAATTCACTGGCTCTCACAAGATCATCTATTTCCACGAAGAAATCTATGTAGTTTTGATGAAGATATAAATTAAATAACTCTCCGGGCATATGCGACATTTCTACTACTTCCTATAAAGAGAAATATATATGTAATTTTCGTAAACAATGTAGTGGTCAAATACATACACACATATATATATATATATATACGTATAAAAAAAATAAATATTTTGTAAGTGGCACTGAGTGCCATTAAAGACTTTACCTCGGGTTGAATAAGTAATGTATCCCGCTCATACTCTGATAAATGAGAAGGCAACCGATGAGAATCTAATTCTGTTAAAGATGTTCCTATAAAAAAATTTCTGTAGTTATTAAAGATAAGACCATCATTATAATTATGCTAGTACCTCTCACTTGAAGATTTTCAACACTTTAGGCACATAATGTCAAAAATAAGAAAGCTGTTAAAAGTAAAAAACACAAACAACAAAATAACTGGAAACTTATGGGAGTTGACTATTCTATCATAATTAGCAAGAATTAAATTTGGGATAGTGATGCCTTGATTATGGCTTCTCTAGACTTCAAAATATTCTGTTTCACAGCACTCCCCATTTCACTTTCCAGCTCTGGGTTACTTTCTTCCTTTGAGTCTCATCTCAGTGTATTCAGTTTTATTTACTAAGTAGAAAGATGGTGCTCTCTCAACCAGAGAATGGAACCCCACTCTCTAATGCAAGAAGTTATAAATGAATGTTGGGGGAAAAAAATGGTGGAAGAAAAAGAATCAGGTGGGCATGGTCACTGAGGTAAGAGGATCTATGGATACAGGAGTGCCTCCATTGCCACCTAAGTGATGCCACTTCATTTTCCTCAGGTGACATGAAGATGTCCATTTAGAAATCCCAATTTTCCTCCTCTAGGATCATAAGACTGAAAATTGGTTATCTGTTACATGAAAAAAATGGAGACTGGAATTGTATTGAAAGGAGGGGCAATTTGGGAGCTCAGCAATGGGCAGTGGGGGTGGAGGAAGTGTGGGGGAGCAGGTATCAAAGAAGACCAAAGAGGGCAATGAACACCTCTGACAGGAAAGACAGCAAGCTAGTGAAGAGTACAGATGAAGAGGATCCAAGAAAACTATAAGCTACTTTGCAATCTGTCTACAGCCCTAGTGGCTGGGGCCAAGAGGGCTTTCAGCCAACCCACACTTGCCACTAAAAGTCTAGATGGACTGATGTCTCACCTATAACAATCTATAATTTTAAAGATTTACAAACATGGATGTGACCTACAGTAGCTACTTTTTACATTTAATCCCTCTCATAGTTAGAAAAATACTCTACCTAAATTCATTTTCCTACTGTGTTTTAGGCCTTGCCAGACAGAATCTGACCTAGCTTTGCTGTAACACAACCAAATATATGACATTTACAAAAATGTGGTATTTTGTTTTAAAGACTAATATCCAACAGATTTAAGGAAAAAATGTATAGTTTTCTTACTTTTACAATATAGTATTTTCCCCAAAGCTCTGAAGAGAAAGAGAGAAACATCTTTGCCACCAACAGCTTGGATTTCTTGATTTTCAAAAATCCCGTCAGGTTTTTTTCTTCGTTTTGATTTTGACAGCATAACATCGGATTTTAACGAAGACACTCCTTTTTTCCTTGGCCATAAATTTTTCTCTCCTAAATAATATACACCCAAGTGACAATAATTTAAAATATGAAAATTAAAACTAAGAACATTTCAGATATAAACTAAATATTCTAATAAAAATATATTCTCCAAATAAACAAGAATTATAAAACATGCTAACTGAGTAGAGTCCTCTTTGGGTTACTAACACTATTAAAACAATAAAATGTCATTTAAAAGTATTATCTCATGACACAGATGTCAAATTTTCACATACACAATGACACACTAATATAGTCTTATCACCTCATTCCTTACAGTGTTATCTGCAAAGCATTGCTCTTGGCATTATATGTATTAACTAATTTAATCCTCACAACAACCCTATGGAGGGAGAACTATTATTATACAGATGAAAGAAATTAGATAAAAAGAGGTTAAGTAACTGTCTGAAGGTCATCAGCTAAAAGTAGTTTGAATCCAGGCAGTTGGCTCTGGAATCCATGCTTAACCACTATACTATATTACCTCTCTATTAATTTGAGCAGTCTCAACTTTATGAATATGTCTGTGTTCAAATTTTACTTATAAGACTACTGTTTAAAACTTAGAATGCATAACTAAAGGGAATCAACCTAGTATAGCAGAAAGAATATAGGATCTGGATTTGAATCCTAGTATTATCTCATTAGGATGGTCTAAGAAAAAAAAATATACAATTGTCAATACGATTTTGGCTCACTCAATAATTATTATTTTCTTCTCTTTAAGATTCCTGCACCCAGAGAAATAATGTTATAAATGGTAGTTAGGATCCCAAACTGGCCCACTTCAGCATTCCTAACTCATAATTCCAGTACTGACCCTACGCACTGTTTACATTTGTTTCCAGAGGAATTAGCAGAGCTCTGGTTTTAGTTGTGTTAGCCTGGCTATTCCTCTATTTATGTTGAAAAAACCAAGATGCAAATTAAATGAACAGGTTCTTTTGTGAGTAGACACACTAGGATTTCACGTGGATTGTGAGAACTCCAAAGATGGCTTTTAATTCTTTAAATCAACTCCTCAGTGGTTAGTTAAGCATCAGGTAGGTAGCCTGCTAATGCTTTCTGATGAGGACGGTGTGCAGTGAACTGTGATTATTACAGTAAAAATGTAACTCATCATCATTAGTGGGCTGTTTTTTACTATCTCATGGCCATAAGCCCTTTCTATGTATTAATAAGAAATTAATAATTTGTTAAACATCATATAAAGTATTATGAAATAAGTTAAAAATGTAAACTTAGTTCAGCACAATACTATCAAGCCGATTAACAGTCGATCAATTATTTGCCACTTAATAAGTGTCAAGTACTGTAATGAGCACTTTACAAGTATTACCTCACTTAATCATCACATACCCTATGAGATAGGTTCTCATATAAAAGGTGAGAAAATTGAGGTATAGAAAGAGTAAGTCACTCAAATAGGGCTATACAACTGAGAAGTGAGAGCCAGGATTTGCACCCAGGAACTCTCACTCAAAATTAACTTTGAAAGGTAAAGTAGTAAACCATGTAAATGGATCAGGTTTTGTCTCAAAGAGATATAAAAATACACATGATGAAATATTAATAGGGATGGTGTCTATGTACATGTACATATAATCTTTACTGTCTCAACAACAAAAAAAGCCAAAAATCTGAAAGACAGGTATATATCAATTATAAGTTAAAACATTTCTATTCTGATTTCACTTCATAAATAGTTATGAGAGTCACCTACATACTGCTATATGAATGCATCTGCCACAGTTACCTTTTGAAAAAGAAAACTGGAGGCTGTTTATTGCACTTCTGATATCACCAGAACATCCTTGACACAGCGACTCTAGAGAAGCTTTATCAGGAACAATAATTTTTCCTCCACACTAAAATGAGAAAATTACAATTAAAAAAACTATCTTAAAAAACATGGTGGAACTAAATTAGAATCTCTGAAACTTGAAGGCTAAAAAGCCTCCATGCTAAACACCAGTCTACTATAAAGGATACAATTGCCAATGCCTTATAGTTTAAGGTAAAATTTCAAGAGTATAAAATATTGTCTTACTTTGACCAGGTTATATTTTAAAGTTATCTTTTCCTTACTCTTCTCTCTCTATACACACATATATACAAATAGACCCACACATATACACACAAAGACCTCAAAACAAAAAATGCAATAAAATTAAATATGCAGAATAATCTGTCAAATTTAAAGACGTATAATAATGTGACAAATCTTTGAAATTTTTACATGGAAGTCCCCAGGTAAGGATCGTCAACATAATATTATAGTTCGCTGAGTATTAAAAAGTCATGACTGCATCAATTTCATATTTAAAGTCTAAGCTTCGTAGACGTTCAAGATATAATTCATATGACTGTTCACAGCCCATCTCATTCCAATCTTGTAAAAACTGATAATAGTGCTGTAATCCTTCAATATTCCTTTTAACTTTATTAATCAAAGATGCTTCAAAATTTCTTTATGAAAAAGTTATTGTCCTTTGCAGTCTCCTCAAATCCATCACTTCATTAGGGAGATGATAACTATTAACATTTTAGTGAGTACTTTTCCAGACCTCTTTCTGTACACGTATAAGTATATACAGTATGTATATGTTGACATAGTTTTCTGAAAATAAGTGGGATCATCATATATACACACTTTCTCCTCACTTACTATCTTGTATCCAACATTTTGCATTTATGACTATTGTAAAAAATCTACTATCTGACTATTTTGTGCATTAACGACATACATCTGGCAATAATGAACACTGAGGTGTGAGGCAAGAGTAATGCTGGCTGTGATGGTTAAGGTTACGTATCAACTTGGCTGGGCTATGATGCTCAGTGATTTGGCAGTTACATAATAATGAAATTTGGAAATCATATAATGATGTAATCTGGCAGTTATGTAATGATGTAGCCATCCTCCAATTTTGCGTAACACTCACTGATTCACATAATGACCTGGTCTTTGGAGCCTAACCTTGTCAATAAGTGAAGAGGGTATATTATTGTATGACTTGATTTTTTAAAAACTTAATTCCATTCTTAGTTATCTTTCTGCTAGTACCTTTAGATATATTTCATTAAAAAAAAAACACTGTGGACACATCATCATTTAACTAATATTTACCCCAAAGAAGGAACATTTACATAGTTTCCAATTTTTCACCATTACAGGCCTATATAAACCTCATATATAACCTACACATATAACTTTCGTATCTATATACATCTTTGCCAGCATACTGAGTATTTCTGTAGAAGTAAAGTGCCTCCCAAAGTGTCTGCAACAATTATTAAAATTTTCCTACTAACAGTATATAAAAAACACTAAAACCCGTTGCCATCGAGTCAATTCTGACACATAGCAGGCATGACCATTTTTCATACCTTTAGAAATCCTGGGTATCAACCTTTAAAACTTTTTTCAATCTGATAGGTGAAAAATGGTGTCTGGTTTTAAATACACATTTCTCTGATTAGTAGGGCTGAACACCTTTCACATTTACTAACAATTTGGATCTCTTTGTGTGTTGACTTTTGATTTTTGCCTTTTCTTTTGTTAATGCTTTATCTGTTACATAAGTTGCAAATACTTTCTCCCATTCTCATGCTTGTGTTTTAACTTTGTTTACAATGCCTTCCATCATCCCTAAGTTTTTCACTTTTGAAGTAAATCCATCAACTGTTCTCTTACGGCTTCAGGTTTTGTTTCTGGCTTAAGGAGACTTTCCCTACCCCAAAGTTAGTATTGTTTCTTAATACTCTTATAATTTTGATTTTTTATTTCAGCCCTTAATCCACCCGGAAATTACTCTTGTACATAGTACGAAGATGTAACCTTGTATTTTTCTGTATGGATATCCAATATTTCTAACACCACACCACTTAACTACAACAATCTACTCTTCTCCCAATGATATAAAATGCTGCTGCCATCATACTGAAAATTCCCGTTTACATATATTGATCTATTTCTGCGCTCTACTCATTTAATTCTTCTACTTGTCTGTTACTGTAATACCATCACACTGTTATAATTTATCTAGTTTATAATATGTTCTGATATCTAGATAACAAGTCTCCTTTCATCGTTATTCTTTTACTAAATTTTCTTGCTAATTCCTGGGAGTTTCTCTTCCAGATTTACTACATTTTGACTGTAAACAGATTTAATTTAAAAATAGTTTTAAGAGGAGTCCTTATTTTACACAGTTTTCAAAATTTTTTTAGATATGGATTACTTGCAAAAAAAGGAAATGTAATTTGAAATCATGATCCTTGCTAACTGAAGAAAATGTCATGGATGTTAATTACTATGAATAAGCAAACATGGCTGAAATGTGTGATCAGCAGCTCCTTCCACACTTTATATACTTAGTGATATGAGAGACTATAGGTTTTTCTTTTCTCTAAGAACAGAGAAGTATCCAAACTTCAAAACAAAAATCACTTAAGATATTCAACACTTACTATAACTAATTCACTTAAGATGTCAACACTCTTCCTTAATATAATTAACAAGATACCAGAGATTAATGTATTCTTTTGATCTTCCTACACTATCATCATCACCCTTGAAGACTCAAGGCAATATGACAACATCTGACCTTATAAAGGCTTGAAGGGCTTGAAAGGCTTGCTTAATGTTGCTCCTGTGATATAACATATCAATAATGACATCAAAAGTATACTAGTTGTAAGACTCTTCCAGATCAACTATTTAAGTTATAGCACGTTAACTACATAACAAAGAAGTTACAGTATCTGTTTTTACAAGTATATCCTAATACAACTTTTTAAATTAAATGCCATTTGTAATTTACTGATTTACTCCTAAAATAATAGCAGTTTCAAGTTAATATGATACTGTAGTATGACTGCTGATTATTTTTCTTGATTGTTTCTTAAACATTTGTTCGAGAAATAAAATAATTTAAAACTATAATTTGAAGTTATAATACCTTAATGTACTAATTCAAAGTATTTCATCTTATTAGGGATAAAAGACACTCTTTGAATGTTTAGATGATTGGGGAAGTAATCATAGTAGAGAATATGGAAAATGTAAAAAGATTTTTTTAAAAGACAATAAAAATTCAAAAGTAATCCTACCATCCAGAACTAATCACACTTAACATTTTTATGTACTTTAGGCTAGTATGTGTAGGTTTATGTGTATGTGTGCATTTTATTATTATTGACAATTGTTTGTTTTCTTTTAGCACAGTGGATTGGAGTCAAAACCAAACTTTAATCCCATCTGATACTTAACAGTTGTGGGATGTTATATAACTTATTTCCCCCACAAAGCTCAGTTCCTTCACCTCTAAAATGGGGATAATGTAACAAAGTTGTGGTGAGGATTTAATAAGATCATGTATTTAACGATACTTTGCATACTGCCTGATTACATATTAAGAGCACAATACATCATTTCCGTTGTTGGCATTATATTTTAACTTGATATTAAATTATACGCATTTTCCCACGTCATCGAATATTCTTCAACTCACTACTGTTAATGACATAATAGTTCATCATAGTAACTGTTCCCTCAATTATTGAAATCAAATTGTTTCTAATTTTTCACTATTAAACAAACATTACTTATTAAAATAATACTCTATATACATTATCTTGTTTAATCTTCCAAATAACCTCTTCCTTAAAGATTCTCCTCACTTCCTGTGATCCCAACAGTCCAATAAAAATTATGTTTCATGAAAGTTCTAGTTGATTTGCAGCAGTAGGGCCCCCTAGAACTATGCTGCTGGAAGTAGACGTTCCGCCAATTTATTTTAACATCATCTTTATTTGAAAGATAGAAAAATGAGGTATTGAAAGTGACAACAGGACAATGCTACAGTTGAACGATTAATGGCCAATGTACCTGGATTTGAGGAAAGTTTCTTCATGATAGGCACAATTTAGGAAAGCAAGCCAAGGAAAGGGAAAATTTACCTCAGTTTGAAAGAGAAAGCTAAGTTTAACAGTAGAAAAACGTTAAAGATTTTTTAATGAGTATTTTCAACATTTTCTAAAATGACATCACTCATGCATATAATAAAATTCTAAAAACCAAAACAACACAATATTATCTCCAATTACTCAAGTTTACATAATACCACTTAAGCTAGACTTTCTAGAACTACAATGCAAGATTCAAATTAATTATTTCTTAAGAGACTTACCTTATTAGCTTCTATTGTCATTATTCGATTAAGAAATTTCATCATAATTGTTGGTGCCACAGGATTGAAACTGTCAAAGTTTATAAAGAAAGACGGTATTTAAACAATTAATTTTGAAACATAAGCTGTATGCGAACATTATGAAGCAGAAATTGCTTTCTTACTTGATATTTGATATAGAACACTCTTCTTGAATTTCTTTGGGAAATAGTAATCTTTGATTGTTATCTCCACTGAGACTGTCAGAAATTATAAATATAAGAGGACATCGACCAATCTGGACATACTTCCTAAAATAACAAAACATAATAATGTTGAGATTTAAGCCACTTGATATTTAATTTGGAGTTTTAGAAAATTTCACTCAAACTCACCTTAGAATTTCATGTAAAATCTGAGAATCTCGATAAAACTGGTTAGGGAAATCCTATTGAAAACACAGGATAAATATTAGTTCAGTTATATTCCCAAGCAAATTTATATTCAGATTTATATTTACCAAGGATAGACAAAATTTTTACCTAGTCAATGTAATTTTATGTAGAACTTTCATGCAAATTAAGGAAAACATGAAATACCTGATATCCTAATCAATAATATACATACATGGGAGCCCCAATTTTCAGGTCAATTTTTCTTAAAGGCACTTTACCAGCTATATAATTTTTATTGAGAACACATATTCCAAATATTTGCTTTTCTATACTTAAACGTATTTTTTCTCATTAGTCACACCACATCAGAAAATAAAGGCCCCGAAAGCTTTACTCCCATCGGCGTCATTAACGTCAGCTCTACTTTGAGGAGGCAGCTCTTCCCCAGTCGTATTTTGAGTGCCTTCCAATCTGAGGCGCTCTTCCTGGGGCACTGTATGACAATGTCCTGCTGCTATTCACCAGGCTTTCACTGTTGTTCTTGTTCAGTGCTGCTGAGTCGGCTCCAACTCATACCGACTCTATGTACAACAGAATGAAACACTGCCTGTTTCTGTGCCATCCTCACAATCGTTGTTATGCTTCAGCCCATTGTTGCAGCCACTGTGTCAATCCATCTCATTGAGGGTCTTCCACTTTTTTGCCAACCCTCTACTTTACCAGGCATGATAGCCTTACTTGCCACTTTTTTGAGAAGTAAATTGGCAGGTCCTTCTACCCAGTTTTAGTCTGGAAGCTCCACTGAAACTTGCCCACTATGGGTGACCCTGCTGGCGTTTGAAATACTAGTGGCATAACTTCCAGCAACACACAAGCAACCATGGTACGACAAACTGACAGACAAGTGGTGTACATGGACCAAGAAGCAGTCATTTGAACAGAACAAGGGGATACTGTGTGGTTTAAAATCAGGAAAGGTGTGCATCAGGGTTGCATCCTTATTCAATCTGTATGTATGAGCAAATAATCTGAGAAGCTGAACTATATGAAGAAGAACGTGGCCTCAGGATTGGAGGAAGACTCATTAACAACCTGTGATATGTAGATGACACCACCTTGCTCGCTGGAAGTGAAGAGGACATGAAGCACTTACTGACAAAGATCAAAGATTACAACCAAAAGGGGACTTCCAGCAAAATGGTGCTCTACACAGAAGCACCACACCATCCCTCCACAGCGAAGATCAGAAAAACCAAGCCAAACAGAGAAAACAGCAATCCTGAAACCCTAAACATCAAATAAAGAGATAAAGAACTCAACCAAGCACCAAGTGGAATAAGAAACTGATAGAGAACAGAGAGCGAGGAGACATACATGGAAAGGTCCCCATCAGCTAAAGCAGCACTGATCCGCCATCTTGAACTCCTATCAGAGACCAGCAAATAGGGGGTACGAGAAAGCAGCTCCATGGAGCTTCCAGCAGCAGACAGAACAACCAGGAACTGGCGATATACGCTTTCCCACCCCCCACGCTTCTTCACCCCCTCTCGGCCTCCTCTGCCTCCCGCAGCCACAGTCTCTTGGCCAGGAAGCACCGGCTGCTTGGATTCCACCCGCCTGCACTGGCCGACTCCCTGTGTGCCATCTGTTGGCTGCTGCTGTTGCTTTCTTCCGCTTCTTTAGATTTCTTTCTTACCTCTCACCACCTCCCTCTCCTTTTGCCCAAATACCTGGCTCCATGCGCCATGTTTGCTTCTTCCTGAGGGGCTGTGGAGCTCCGTTCGAGTGTGGAACTGCTTTCTGGTCTGTGCTGCCACGCTGGTCGGATCCTGGGGCTTTTTTTTTGGTCTGTTTTGAATTGTTTACTGTTTTCTTTTCCTTTTCTTGAGTCGGGAGCCCGTTCTGGCCGGGCAGTGCTGTGCGGCTTGGGAACTACCCCCTCAGCTTGCAGAGACGTGCAGGGGGATCCCTGAGAACATTTCTTTTTTGGTGGGTTTTTTTTTTTCTTCTGTTTTTTGGGGGGTTTTCTTCTTTTTTTTTTTTAAATTTGTTTTGTTTTCTTTTCCTTCTTTTTCCCTTTTTGTCTTTCTTCATTACTCAGTTTCTCATCTCTCTATACCTTCCTTCTTTTCCTGTCCCCTGAATATCTGGCGCTGAACACCTCTATGCCTCCTAGCCAGGCTGTACTTCAAACCCTGGGAACAACTTCCCCAGACCTCGTAGCTGCACTGGAGGGATCCCTGGGAGTTCTGCTGTTCTTTTTTCTTTCTAATTTTTATTTATTCATTCCTTTTTTTTCTTCTTCCCCTTTTTGTTTTTCTCCATTTCATAGTCTCTCATCTATCCACTCCAATGGCAAGCTCTTCCCTAGCACTCTTTTTTGTTTACATGTTTTTGGCCCCTGTTCCTCTCTCCTCTCTCCCATACTCATCTTAGCTCTACACATCACAATCTCCCCCCTCCATCCTGCCTACCTGCACCGTGCGCTTAACATCACACCACCAAGCAGCACAGGCACGGCCTACCGGAACCTGCCCTGCACTGATTACTAGCCCACCCTGGTGGCTGTAGGAAGTGCCACAAACAACCCATCCCAGCAACTCCTCTTCAGCTAGACCTGCTGTTCCATATCTGAGTGACTGACCCTGCCAATTGGAGAAGGAGGTGAAAAGTATCGTGCCCACAGACGAGCAAACAACAAAGAATACATAGTCCACCTGCTGAGACATAGCCAAATTAAAAAAAAAGGACAAGACAAACAAATCTACAATCAA